AACTACAACCATAACTGTACTGGTCATACCTTTTAACTACAACCATAACTGTACTGGTCATACCTTTTAACTACAACCATAACTGTACTGGTCATACCTTTTAACTACAAACACAACTGTACTGGTCATACCTTTTAACTACAACCACAACTGTACTGGTCATACCTTTTAACTACAACCACAACTGTACTGGTCATACCTTTAACTCACTATCCCTTCAAAACTTGTATGTTTCGCGTAAAAGGTACACAAAATAATTTTCTTTTATTTAATATATAATTTATTTTATATAAGTGCCTGACAGTCTATGCAGCCCACATAACATATCTATAATTGTTGTTGCAGGCATGCATCAATTGCATTACACATTGGGCAAGTAGCAGTATGTTTGAGAGACATCTTCAAAGAACACGTACGTGCATTTTGTGAAAAGGAAACTGGTATAAATAAAGTGTGCATGGAATGGCTAGCAAGTGAATTAACTAAGTGAAGAACTGTAACAAAGGATTAATGTAATGATGAAGAATAAAACGAAAATTTGATTATAGTTGAAATTAATTAATAATAATTTCAATATATAAGTATTTATCAGATTAATGAAGGGCGAAGAAAATAAAAGTTAGGTGTAGCAATCGGAGAAAGCTCAGACACAGCAAAAAAGATGCACGTAATTTTTTTATTCCTAGTACATCGAGCACTCAGTTTGTGGGTCACAGGATTGAATACCATCACCGAACATGCTTTCCCTTTCAGCCATGGGGGTGTTATAATATGATGGTCAATCCCACTATTCTATGGTAAAGAGTAGCCCATGAATTAGAGATGGGTGGTGTTGACTAGCTGCCTTCCCCTTTTATCTATCACTTCAGAATTATTAATAATTCATTATTACAATTAACTAGTGATTACGTTTTGTTGTACTGAATTAAAACAACAAATTAAACACCCTGACTGAATCAAATTACTTACTGAGGTGTCATTAGAAGCTCTAATGGGAATCAGTGCATGTCGTAACACCTTGAGTGACTCAGAATTACTCAAGTGTCATTAGAAGCTCTAAAGGGAATCTGTGCATGTCGTAACACCTTGAGTGACTCAGAATTACTCAAGTGTCATTAGAAGCCCTAATGGGAATCTGTGCATGTCATAGCACCTTGAGTGATTCAGAATTACTCAGGTGTC